CTGAAAGAAGTTTCATGGCGTGCTTTAGACCAGATGGGCGACGTAGGAGCTGGTCCAATGCCTCTCGGATCGGCATATCTTGCACTTGGTCTTTTCCCCATTCAGAAGCCGCCTCATTATATCTTTGTAGACCCGGTGGTGGTATGTGTGCTAATGCAGAGAGCCATGATAAGAGTGGTAGTCCTGATGAGTCCAGTGATAATTAGCATGCTTTCATTGAGCTGGGTATTGTATTGACCTTCTTAGTATAGGCACAACGAGACCAAACAGGTGCAAGCAATATTCGGCAACGGAGTACAACAAGGAAAGTGCAGACGTCCGTAGAACTGTAGCCGAGGCCTTTCAAATCGTGCCAGTGCGCTCTTGTGGTAGGCCCTCTAAATGTTGTTTAAAGGTTAGCGAACGGTCTAGTATGACATAACACCCAGGTTATTTTCGCGTAGTGTTTTGTGTTTGTTTGTGTGTAACGATCTTCCCATGGAAAAAACATTCAATCTTTTGTTTGCAAGGCAGTTTGGGATCTGAAAAGTTGCCTGACTTCTGTCTTCCCAGGATTCGGACAAAGCCGCCGAGCTGTGAAAGGTTTGTTAGATCGTGACCTAAAATTACAAAATACCACAGTCCATATTACTAGCGCTCTTTTTACTAAACACCAAATTAATTTCTGAATTACCAACAGATATTATTAGAAAGTAGATTAGTTTGCTATCTATTTATAAATAGTACACTACAATCTTGTATATTTTGATGAGAATTACGCAATAATAAAAATAATTCATGTCTGTACTCGCCTTGAAACACTCATTATAAAATTGACGTAAATAGTAAATCATACCCAGTTCTCACTAAATAAACTCAATAAGTGTCGCCGCGCACGGGCCACCGACCACAAACACAAAACGCCGCCACCGGCATATTTCTTGTAGTTTTCATACATTTTATATGGACTCGCCACATACGGTACGCCGGTGGCCGCCACACGCTACAAGTCGTCGTTGCTCGCTTCTTGTGGCCCGCACCGGCCACTTATACAAAACGCCGCCACACACCACTCGCGCGATTCCCCACCCCTCTATCCCTTACTTTAGTCGGCCGCTGTCGCGCGCTTCAGCCAATTTAGTAGCCGCTTCTAGCTTCTCGTGGCGGCATTTGTGGCTGTAGTGTGTGCGTGTGCGGCGTGTGCGGCGTGTGCGGCGACACTAAAGCTCCTAGCACAGACCGACAAATGGAGTCCTCAGCTGACGTGGACCATAAATAATACAATTCGAAACTAACTACATTGTTATTTTTTTTTGTTTGTATGATGATCCGTATATCAAACGGTAGTAACATAACGGACGTCTCTGGGTGTAATTTATAAGTGCTACTTTATCCAATAATACTACGCCATGTCACTCAGCTCTTGTCAGGTAATTCTTATGAATTCTTACAATGGAATCGGACCAGAGCTGACATTGAAATATTCCTGGAAGAACTGGGACAATCACCAAGTTATGTTCCAATATGCGATATGCCTATTTGGCGGACTGTCAATATATCAATATGAAAATTACTAATTGGAATGTCAGTCAAAATGTTTGTTACGAGAAGATAATTAATATTCATATTAATTTTAGCATTACATGATACCTAAGGAACAACAAACGAACCCATTCAGGTATTTCGTTTAAATTGTGTCATTTATATTGTGAGAACTATGACCCATTAGGTCATAGTTCTCACAATATAAATGACTTTGAAGAGCAAACTATTACAATAACCTATCTCTAGTAGGGTATAAGCTCATTACAGAGATATTAAAAAAAAATACTTACTGCTTTAGTAAACGGATTTAATTGTAACACACTTACGGATAATAATTTTACATGATTATTGACTTTTTATATCATATTCATTTCAGTACAGTCACGAGTCCTAGATTAAAATGATAAATCCATGGATAAATATAGTAATGCAATTAAACCAAAACACTAAACACATTCGGCTTTATTAAGCAAATGTAGCAATTAGGCCCTAGCAGATAACCGCAGAGATAATGCAATGGAATTATGTCCGAGTGCGAGGTAGCATAGATAAGCACTGTTATATTAAGTTAAACAAAGCAATAGGTTTTATTGGGCCGTAGTATTTCAGATATGAGATATTTGCTCTGGCAGGCAGCAGGCTCTGTAAGAACCACCTTACTTTTCACCTTGGAATCCGCGGTGAAATAACTTTGTTTCCACATTTTTTTACACACAACAATTAGCCTAGCCCCAAAGTCAGCACTGCAATGCGTTATGAAAGAATACCTTAAGTAAAGTTATCTAGCAATTCATATAGACGTAGGCTACACCTCTGTAGCCTACGTCATCAACATCCTCATGTTCCAGAAAAAGCTGGCCGTGAGCCTGTGCTGGACCACTAAATTTGATTTTCCGTGAAAAATTACACTTTAATGTATTTTAATGGTGCAAAATATTTCAAAATCCTTAAGCTAAGTTATTATCGTTGGAAACATTCTGGATAATCTCCTGTTTCCGTAAAAGAGTTTGACCTTATCCCTAGTAATTTCTCCTGTTCGACCTGTCTTGTTTATGTTATGTTATGACTAATACTCGGTAAATAGCCTTATTATGATTCTCATTAGTTATTAAGATTCTCAGTAAAAATTGCATAATATTCATCTTAACATACACCACTAAAATTTGCTTAACATAATATATTACAGTGCAATTTCCAAAAAGTCTGGTCATAATCTTTTTTTTATATATATTACATCGCCACATTTTTTTCCTTTAGTAGTATAATGCCTAATTCTCAAAATGCCCACCTTACCAATTATTTGCTTAAGTTAAAGTAAATGGAAATTATTAATAATATGTATAGGTATGAAAAAAATAGTTCTATTTCAAAGTAGGTTTTGAATGTTCAACCGTAGCTAGAAATGGCATATGAAATTATAGGAGCGCGATATGATATTATTTACTTTATTAAGATGATTTTAGACAACAGAGCTTGCAGTTTGCTACAAACAGCTTCCACTTGTGGTCCTCTGTTACAACGATTGTCAATATGTACCAGTTCGCTTTATTATTTGCTACTTTGCCACTACTTAACATCTGGTGGGTAGAGTTATTTGCCTACCTTGCTATAAAATAAATATTATGTACTAGAGTTCTATCGAAAATACACTAAATATTAAGTTGAATCTAAATGATGTCTTTAGCGCGAGGCAGTAACGGACATCAAAACAAATTTTCGCATTAATTTTTAAAAATAACAAAGTACTTAACTTTATTTAAGGTACAATGAAAAGAGGTCCTTGGACGTTGCTGACAATGACAATGTAATTTTTATGAATATTGTTTCAATATGAATCGTGAGTTTGATTTATTACCACAACAAAGAAAAACGTCTCATATTATAATGTCCCGTCATTAACAGAGTAACAAATCGAAAAATTATACCACTTCACGTTTGCATAAAAGATTTTTTCAGTCTATCAAACTCCTATTGAAAAATAAAACAACCATTAATAAAAAAAATAGCTTGTTACATAAATAAGTTAGTAAGTATAAAGATATGTAAATTAAAAAAGGACTTTTCCCTCTTAGATGTAAGGGATGTTTTTATTAAATAACTCAACATGTGCAAATCGAATATACTTAGTCCTAGTGACCGGCTCTAGCTTTGCTTTTGCGTTGACTATAGTTTTTGTCCTGAAGCATGTTTTATATACACAATTCTGCCAGTAAAAAGTCAACTAAAAGATGGGGAAAATCGCTTGAAAATCCATTCAGTAGTTTTTAAGATGGTCGCGATCACACAAATAGACGCGGCGAGTTGTACGAAGATACAGGAATGGATTATCATGCTTATCCCGCTAAAAGTACTAGAGCACAAACATTAATTCCTTAACCAACACAAAAAAAGATGCGTCCATTACTGATATCGATGTAAATACAAAAGACGACTGTTTATAAACGCCTAACAAAATGTAAAAAAAAATATAGTAGGTAATTTAAAAAGTCTTTATTTATGTTTTTATGTTATAAGCATTTAACTACTAAATGTTTAAATCTAAAGAAAAGTTTACTACAAAAAAATTACGCGGAGTCTTTATTTAATTAGGTGTAAATGAATGATATGGTATGTCATTGCCAAATAGGCTTATGTTTAATTTCCTTTGGTATATATACTATGAACGAACATACGACACACAGAGAAAGAATATGTTTATACGACTGCGTTAAAGGAAATTATTGGTATGCTACGAGTATATGCCTTAATCTCAAGCTAATAGTTTTGAATAATCTTTGTCTAATAATGTTTTCAAGTTTTGTTAGCGTTGTTTTTGTTTTGATGTTGTCTAGATTCTACGATGTACAACTGTACGGTGTATTTCAATAATGTTGTACTGTTTAAGATATTATCCTATCTAAATATTTTCATTACTTTTCAAATCATTCACTAAGCATATAGCAAATCCCTTTTTGATTTTTAAAGCGTTGGTGTAAACATAAACAAGCGCAAGTCAAATGTAATTATTTTGTAATCAAGGAGAGTTGTCCATATCAACTTAGAGCACAGTGTTGCAGAAGCAGTAATCAATAGATATGTACCTAGAATCCTGTTAGCGATACATAAACACTAGACTAGACATTCATTGCCTTGCAAACATATGTTTGCATGCAACTTTCGCTTATATGTAAGAAATGGCATACGGAAAACAATAACACATTTTGTTTTTCTTTTATCATCTATGTCTATTGTTGTTATATTTTTATGTGATTTACAATAAAATAAAATAAATTACAACATAGTTATATAGAAACAGCGTTTTTTAACTACATCCCTACTATCCCTACATATAACACCGGATCAATTTGTCAGAGCTTTTATTAATAGCCTGTTAAATGGCCCTCCAGAATTTGCTACCGCAAAATAAGCTCTCTACATTTACAAGTACTTCGATCACCGCATACAATATGTCGTTAATATTTATTGTGAATCGTTACCTTCTGTTTGTGGATGCGACTTGCGCTTCACATTTCAGTTGTTCACCGTTCCTTTTCACTATCTACACTTCACTAGCACTGGGAAATGTTTAATGTTTTTTTACATGGTAAAAGGAAAGAGACGTGGTGCCGCGCGCATGGCGGAAATTAGTTTGAGGGTCCCGGGACTGCGCGCGCCGCCCGCCCTAGCGGAAAATCCCGAAGCGCGGGGTTTCAGCTAATATTAGCAACACAGTTTGCGCGCGACGCGAGCGAGCAACCGACAGCGAGTGGTCAGCGACGCACCGCGCATGTCTGAAAACAACAAACAAACATCCTTGCGCTGCTGCTGGCAGGTGGACTTGAAGGGTTGTGGTTGATTTGTACTTGCGCTGATAACAATTAGACGAAGGCCTGCCTTCTTAAAAATGTTGGTAGTAGATTAGTGATATGAAATATTTCAGTAGTTATTCTTGTTAGTTGGTGATTACGTTTTATATTAATGTTACTTACATTACGTTGTTATTAATAGGAATTGGTCAGTCTCTTTTCGAGGTGTGTATTTTAATATAGGGCGAAAATGGAAATTGTACCCAGATATACAATTTTAAGCATAAATGTATGGGATTTCGATAAACCTCCTTGCATTTATTGAATATCCCAGGATACATTATTATTCAACACTAATGGAACATCCAGTTATAACGAGTATGTAATTTAATAATAGTGAATGAAAAAACATAGTCCGTCTTACGTATATTAGATTTTTAAAGCTACGAAGACGCTACGAACGCAATTGCTACGAAAAATTAACATTTCCTTTCATAGTATAGGCCATTGTTATACCCTATTAGATGAAATTTAGATCTTATATATTATTTTGAGAAAGATAAAATTACATAACGTGGCAAATGGGTAGAATTCCAAAAAATCTTTTAAACGTAATAAACCTTTAATAGTGGGGCAATACATTAAATGTTTTCTATAGAATATTAAAAGAAAAAAAATACTTGAAAAAAGATAATTTCATTTTACATAGAACCCAAAATAAAGGTTACTTCTTTATAAAAGGAACTTTCAACGGGATATAAAGTTATGAGAAATATGTATTAACGCATTTATATTACCTAGTAAGTACTTATATACGGAATCCCTAAAACAGCAGTCTCTCCTTTTCAATATCTTTATAGCACAACAAGGATACCATGCGGTAAAAAATAATTTTTTTAGGGAATTATCCCAGAATCTGGCAATTTTAATAAGGAGGGTTTGCATTTGTGTTTTTTATTGGGCAATTGCATATTTTTTTGTGGTTTATCTCAAAATATTATGAAAAACATTATATTGCGAGTAAGCCTCACAAACCACATCAGAATAAAGTACCTACGTCTAATTAAAATTAAAAGTGTTATGTGTAAGTTACTAAAGTTGTTACTATAGTTTTGTAGATTTCCATAATCATAGTGTTATTGAATACTCATAAACAACATATGAAAGGCTAAGGGGGGAAAACCAGTTAAGTCCATTTTTTCTGAATTTGATTTTTTGGAATCTATGGCCACAAATTCTCTTTTCATCTTATGCCTATCACAAAAAAGGATAAAACTTTTTGTGTCATTTTTTTGAAGTGATAACTTCTTTAGCGGCGTTGTACACTTTTTTGTAATGGGTAAAAAATGTTAAACTCGCGTCAGGACACGTGGCCTAATCGAAAATTCGTAAGACGAAAACAATAAAATTGGAAAGTTTGTTGACTTTCAATATATTGGGCGAAACATTAATAAGTCTCTATCTAGGACATCCAGGTGGCAGCTTTATTGCGAAAAAAATGCATTTTTTCAATAGATGTCGCTAGGTGCACTTAAATGTGATTCATGTAAGTTAATTTTTCTGAGAGATAAACTTTTTAATGTTATTTAAATAGTCTTGTTTGTGTACGATTGCGCAATAAATAAAAATTGTATTCTACCACATAAATGTTAGTACTTTTATATTGATAATTAAAGCAATTCGAGCAAAATTATTCCCTGACTATTGCAAAATATCAAAAATGCACAACATTAATATTCAAGTTTTCATTTCTGCCGGCACTCCCGGAGTGCAACCTGTCTTTTTTTACCTAGTTCTTTCCTAGAATGTTAGGATGCTTTAATGAAAAATCAGTTAGTTTTTGTTATTGTGAAATTTTTATTCAGAAAATAATTATAATATGTGTATCAAAATCAATTGATTGCATATGAGCAAATTTTCGGAGTCAGTCATAAAATTATGTCGTTACTTTAATTGCTTGTACTGTAAAATTTTGTGACAGGCTGTTTTTCCGCTTAGCCCTCGTGTATAACCACCTTCACGTCTTCAAATTTGGTATTGGTTTTGTTCAAGATGTTTCCCGCACGTAATAAAGTAAAAAAAATCAGTAAAATGGGAATCGGATTTGCACACGAAAAATTTTGGTAATACAATGTATTTGGACGTTTGTTACTCCATAATGCAAAAACGGCTGAACGTTTTCGGATGAATTGCATATGTCCATATTGATTAAACCTAGGGTGGTTTTTAACCCGGAAAAATGTCCTTAAGGGATTTTAAAAAAACTAATTTATATAACTTTAATGCGTAAGAAATCTCAGCTATATATGTATATATATAAGGTTTCATACCTGAGATTCGTTCAGGCAAAGTCCCGAATTTCGAAGTAATTTTTGAATTATTTTATACTCGTACATATAAAAAATAAATTTACATGAACCACAACGTAAGACTACTTATGAATAAATAACGTTGCAATTCCTCTATATAACTCTATACTTTATACGTTTATTTAACAAATTATGAGAAGCTGAAACGGAATAAAAAACTTTATTCGTAGGTCACAAAATCTATTTTCGCACAAAGCTTCTCTTTATTCGATTCCTCGTCAGTTTTATATTGAGCACGTATCCTTTGAAGTTCTTATGAGTCATATTTGTGGTCAACAAAAGTACTTTATAGGATTACTAACTGGCTACTGTCCGCGAGTACAAATATAGATAAGTTGGTATGCCTTTCGATCTTAGCAGACCAATGTCTGAAATCCGATTAAAGGACAATGTTAAAATTGGCCTAAAAACCAACACCAATTTGGCATTTATGATAATTCTTAGTATATTTTTTGCGATAATTGTCAGTATTTAGATTGTGAACGGACACTTCCAGTTAAGTAAGCTATATTAAAAAGTTAAAAAATAATTTGAGACAATAAATACCATTTTATGTGTTTAATCTATCACAGCGCTGCAAAAAAAAACACTTTCTTCCTAATGCCAGCATTTCACTTGGCTATTTGTATTTGCTATTTTAAAACATGACATCAGTCTGTCCTTTTCATTCCATATGAAGCATGACAAGGACAAACTGTTGTCAAGTGAAGGGCCAGCATAAAACTCGTTACTCTGTGGTTGTGGTGCAGGTGGTTTGCATTCGTAGTAACCTGTGGCATTCGTGCATTCCAAAGAGTAGTCTAATATACCGGAAAGTGCATTCTAGTTTCGGATTACCTGTTGTGTGTGTTTATTTGTGACGGTTTTTACTTTTAATTTAACTATTTCGGCTATCTAATATGTCATCGATGTTACCAAAAATCAGAGCCCTTATTACTAAGTGCTAGTGAACCTGTGGCACAACATCCTGGGAGGATCATACTGCCAAATTATTCAAGAACACCTGATACACATTCACGCTGCATATTTACACAATATACATGTGATATACAAATAAATACAAAACAATAAGACAAAATTACTTATGTGAAAAATAGTCAAAAAATAAGAAGCAAAACTACAGTTTTTATTTTATTCATGATTCCTACCTAACCAAGTTTTTCCTAATAGTTATTTTTTTAAATCGCACCGAATAAAATGAATTAGTTGTAATATTAATTCACTTCATACTGAGTTCATACTAAGTTCATAGGTTGACCTATGTTTCATTGAATATTAAACATAACCTCAAAAGAATTTTAGTTTTCCTAATAATTTAAGTTCTCAGAAGTATCCGTCAATAATCTTTGTTTTTACAGTCATTTACTTACGATTTCGAACCTAGAAAATAATATTTCATGATTGTTGGTTCTTAGGCTAACTATGTATGGACGCTGAACAATGTCCTTTATTTTTTATGCAGACATAGGTATTTACTTACCTATAATGAAAAACTATCATACCTTATACAGCCTTTCGCTAGTTTTGAATGAGGAGAAGTATTTTTTTATGTACGTCTAATTTCCTAATTACTTTAAAGTGATGAGTACCCGAGGAGCTCGATGGAGCTGGTGGTTAACGCGTTCGGCCTGAGATCGTAGAAGTTAAAGCAACTTTCGCAATGGTCGGTCATTGGATGGGTGACTAAAAACTTATTATCTCGAGCTCCTCCGTGCTTCGAAAGGCACGTTAAGCCGTTGGTCCCGGCTGCATCTGCAGTCGATAGCACCCACAAATTCGCACTCAGCCCGTGTGGTGGGTCACGGCCCAATCTGCCTATTCCGCTAGGGAAAGGCCTGTACTCTAGCAATGGGGAGATTAATAGACTGACGATGATGAGTTCCTAAATAAAATACAAAACAAAAAGTTTGTAAGCCTAGATCTATGATGACTCTAGCTTCCGATTTCAAATGTCCATTTCATCCATTTTAATAAAATCATATATACACCGTGTTCCTAAGGATATACATAAACTTTGAATAATACTTCTATAGCTCTTGTTGAATATATCGTACAAAGAAAGTAGTAGTTTAAATAGCATAGTTTTTAAGTTATTGGTAATTTAAGTATAACCAACTTAATTGTGTTGTTCAGTGAGAATGAGTCTTTATCTGTGAGATGTTGCCACTTTGAGTAACCAAAAATATCATACTAACAACTCTTTGTCAATGGTCATTAAGTCATAGTTTCAAAGTCAAAATTTTAAAAAACATTGTTGACGTCAAGAAAAGTTTCAAAAAGTTTATGTGGTCATGTGAACCAAGGTTTCAAATGCGACGTTGCCAGCTCAGGTAAAAAGTAATTCATATTATATAAACTACATCTAAGCATTTAGTTTGTATGAAAATAAAAATAGGTAAAAAAATTGGAATTCATAAAAGTGTCTATAGTAAAAAACGATCAATTTAATAGTCTGAATAACATGCCAAAGTTAGTGTATAACCTCAGG